TTTGTTTTGAGATACATGAATACATTTATATTTATATGTACATATACAATATGATTCAAAAATATGTCGAACGGATGATTAACCTTTTCACACAGGCACCTCAATGGTTTGACACTATAGAAATGAGATTAGTTTTAAACTATGTATTGAGAGCCTAAGCTTAAAACGAAATCCCTTTGATAAAGAATCAAGATGAGGTCACTCGATATTGAGATTTGTGATCAAAAGTGAATAAACCCACAATTCACTTTATTTGTCTTAATATGCCAAATAAAAGTCCTATTGATTATATGAAATTAAGTAGAGTTGTGGACTTAAAGTTAGATATTGGGAGTATTTGAACAATCACTTATATGGTATTGATATATAGATGAGAAAAGACATATGCTCTTTAGGAAAAAGAGAGTAATATCGTAACATGTTTCTCATATGACATGTGCATTGTTTGACCAATAAAAGTAACAGAAAAATAGATCTCTACTTTTTATTATGTGAGACTTTTGAGACTAGAATATCTCATATTTAGTACCCTAAAGGATCTTCGATTATTTCTTAAAATTTTAGTTCAATGTTAGCTATCTTGGATTGTTGTCAATGGTGATGGATGATTTGATCTAATAAGATATATCTAGATAGTAATTGGATTAAAATAAAGGAATTATAGCATAAGGAAATATCGTTCTAGTGTTAAATTTAGTTGTATTCACAAGTCGACCAATTATGTTTGAAACATCAAATATAATTGTGAAGACTTAAGTATATTATGTAATATGATAAAAAAAAAGATCGTGAGAAACTTGAAATGTGGCTGAATGGGCCTAGGGTGCTACATACTTATTCTACTTGTACTTGAGAGTTAGTATACATTCTTAACAGTTGTGTAAGTGACTGTATGTGATTATGAGTTGCTATATACACCTAACAGTCATATAGTAACTGAGCTCTTGAAGTATGTTGGTCACATGACTTATTTTCTTGCATGAACTCGATGCAAAGAGTAGAGAAAACATTTTGGAGATCAAGCGAGTTTGGCACCCATTCTATGTGAGTGGAAGATGAAGGCATAATTGTCTAAAATAGGTGGTTACAACCCATGAAAAGAATAGTGTAAAATGCAAATTGCTTTGGGCAATTAATAACTTTATCTGTTCATTTGATTTTTAAAAGCTTTAATGGCATTCGGCCATTAAAAAAAAGATAGCCTTCTAAAATTTTTTTTAACTACAAAACAAAAAGAAATTTAAGGAAAAAAAAGTAAGAGTCAGGCAGGCATTTGAACAACTCTGAGTTAAAAATTCTTGTATTCAGTGTGAAAGACATACACTATAAAATTGAACAATTTTTGTATCGTAATCTTATTCAACGACCAATAATTCAAGCTGGATTTTCACTTTCACTTCCACTTCTGCTTAACAAGTAATTATATATAATTTTATTCGTATATATCTTTCGTGAATTTTTTTTACATTGGTATCAGAGCCAGGCTCACTAAGCCCATACCTAAAGATATGTTTAATAGTTATATGAGATCTTTAAGATTGTGTAGATGTTGAAGCACATGTACTAATTGAATAGTTCTATATGGATAATATATGATATTTTCTCATTTAAGTTGACTTATACTTAATATAATTAATGCCATTAAAGTTTAATACTTTGTTTTGAGATGCATGTAGACATGTATATATATGTACATATATGATATGATTCGAAAAGTATGTTAGACAAATGATTGGCCTTCCTAAATAGGTAATCACCTCAATGGTTTAGCACAATGGAGATAAGATTAGTTTTAAATTATGGATTGAGAGACCAAGTTTAAAATAGAATCGCCTTGATAAAGGATCAAGATGAGGTCACTCGATATTAAGATTTGTGACCGAAAGTGAATAACCCATAATTTACTTTGTCTGTCTTAATATGCCAAGTGAAAGTCTTATTGATTATATGAAATTAAGTATAGTTGTGGATTTAATTAGATATTGGGAATATCTGAACTATCACTTATAGGGTATTAATATATAAATGAGGAAAGACTTATGCTCCTTAGAAAGAAGAGAGTAATAGCATAGCGTGTGTTTTATACCACATGTGCATTGTTTGACCAATAAGGATAATAAAAAAATAGATATCTGCTTTTTGTTGTGTAAGACCTTTTAGATCAAAGGATCTCATATTCATTATCTTCAAGGACCTTTGACTATTTTTTAAAGTTTTAGTTCATATTAGCTACCTTGGATTGCTACCAATGGTCATGGGAGATTTGATCTTAATGGAACATGTCTGGATCATAGTTGAATTGAAATGGAAAGATTTTCGAAGAAAAGAAGATCATTCTGGTGTCACATTTGGTTGTATTTATAGGTCAACCAATTATGTTTGAAAAGTCGAATATAATTATGAATACGTAAATATATCATGCACTATAGTAAAAGAGAGATCATGAGAAACTTGAAATATGACTTAATAGGTTTAAAGTGTTGCATACTTATTCTACTTGTATTGGAGAATTACTATACAAACCTAACAGTTATATAAGTGACTGGATCTTATTATGAGCTATTATATGCACATGATAGTCATATAGCAATTGAGCTCTCGAAGTATGTTGGTTTTACGACTTATTTTCTTATACAAACTCGATGTAAAGATTGAAAAAAAACTTTTTTTGAGATTATGAAAGTTTAACACTCATTTTTGTGCAAGTGAGAGATATTAGCATAACAGCCCATAATGGGCATAAACTCATTAAAAAGCAATTGTCTTAGGCAATTTTTATTTGTATGAAAAACTGTCATACACAATTTACAACAAAAACATAAAAAGGCACCCAAATTTTTGGTTGTTTCTGCATAATATACATTCAGCTTTTTACAAAAGTTAGAGAAAAAGTTGTTTTCTTTTCACAACATCAAAACAAAAGGGCTTTAACAGAGAGAGTCTAGTAGGCATTTGAATGACTCTCAGTGAGGAATTCTTACATCCGATATAAGTAGTTGTGGAATCGAACAATTTTTGCATTGTATCTTGTATAATGACCAATAATTTAAGTCGAGTTTTTGCTTCCACTTTTGCTTAACAAGTATATATGATTTTATTTGTATATATCTTCTGTGAATTTTTCTTATAGGTATGTCACATATATAACACCATTAAGGAGCCTTGAAGATATTAAGAAGACATACAAACATATTTGGATGCCATGGAGATTTCTTAGTAAGCTTAAAGAAATGGACAAGAGGGCTAACAATGAAAATAATACATTGAGATTACATTTAGGTGTTATTTTTACAACCACATTGAGATCCATTATTGATAAAGTCACTAGTACTTGTAATTGTGGATTGGTTTTATATCAATAAGGGGCATAAAAACTGCTATGATTATGTATTAGATGGTTTTATTGGACAAGGTCACTAAGATGTTATTTTAAAGGGCTAAATTATTTTTTAAAATTGTGATCACATTTAAGTAAAGTAAATCAATCTGGAGTCTTGTTTTCTAAATTATATTTTCTTAAAAGTAAACAACTCAATTAATATGCCTAAGTGAGAGAATGTTAAAATTTTTCATAAGTAGGTTACTA